GCCCAGAATACAGTGGATCTTGGTTTGAACCAGGAACTAACTGTTTATGGTTGGGTCCATCAATCTTCTTCTTCTACCCATAATAGAGCAAATATGATACATGTTTCCATCAGTGAAGCACATGCACTCTTTATAGGAAGGGAATTTACATCATGATTTGTTCACAGTTCAACAAAATATCAATCCTCTTATTCATATGAATTGTCAAGTTATAAATTACAAATTCAAATTCTTAAAATACATGATTGGTCAGTTTCCATGGTGATCCAACATAATAATAATAATAATAACATGAAACAGCTCACAACACACTGGCGTTTCTTGATATTATGAAATTAGTAAGACAAACAAACAGTACAGTACATCACAGCAAATAAATCCAACAAATTATAGTTTTGAGCCTTCATTTTGTACAGTCAGACTCTGCATTTCCAACAGACTGTCAGCAAGGGTTTTGGCAAGTTTGTTGGCGTTGGTTTCCGGACTACTGTTAAATGATGTGAGAGAGAAGTTAAACTTTTCCTCATGAGGGTTGTAACACACACCATATCCATCTGGAACAACTGGTCCAAAACACATAATAAGATCATACGTGGAGGGCACCTAGATGAAATTAAGGTAATGAAAGGCTGAGATTAACTTAACTTTTAACTAGCATTTAGAAAGTCATGTGATCATCATATAATTGAATAGGCATGCTATATTAAGTTACTGACAATAGTACATTGCAGTGCATTTCTATGTAAGCTGTGATAAATGCAGTACAATCTGTCAAATCTGTCAAGTCAAGTCATTCTACAATTTGGGGCTAACAGCTTGACTTGAAAGGAAATGACCTCCATTGCTTAGGATTCACAGTAGGTGAAAACGTACCATAGTTCACCCCCCTGCAACAATACTACTTCAGAACCTATGTCCAACGATACTATCTCAGAACCTATGTCCAACGATACTATCTCAGAACCTATGTCCAACGATACTATCTCAGAACCTATGTCCAACGATACTATCTCAGAACCTATGTCCAACAATACTATCTCAGAACCTATGTCCATCGATACTATCTCAGAACCTATGTCCAACGATACTATCTCAGAACCTATGTCCAACGATACTATCTCAGAACCTATGTCCAACGATACTACTGTAGAATACTTTATTTTCGCTTGGAATTTATTTTCGCTATTTTCGCTGAAGGGATGATTTCGTGAAAATAAAATCCAGCGAATACATGTATACTTTTTTTCCTATATTTCACATTAAACTCATCAAAAGTCAGTGAAAATAAATTCCATACAAAACGCCCAAAAAGCCTTTTCAGCGAAAATTAATTCCAGCGAAAATAAAGTATTCCACAGTATCTCAGAACCTATGTCCAATGATACTATCTCAGAACCAAACACAAAATGGTATTCAAATAGTTCTAGCTACATTGAAGAGTACCACTCTACTCTAATGGTATTATCAATATGTTCTAAAGTCTGAGCAGAAACGGACAGTAGGATTCAGGTACACACAAACAGAAGCTATTAAAGTCACCCATACAATATCTGTTTTAAAGAGCAGCAAACAACTGCAGTTCATATACACCATATTTTCTCTATTAGAAGCGCATCACAAATCAAAATCAATACAAGTCATTGTCAATGACACGTCCCCGTTCCGTTCATATTTGAGTGACAAATACATTCAAAGCAGATCATGACCGAAATCTCAGACCACTTTCAGTGGTCTGATCCGAAATGCACCTGCATATGTACAACACATTGTACTAAATCTGAACAAAATCCATCCATGCATGACTGAGATCCGGTTCCGGAATTGTGAAAATACATGATTTTGATGCATTTTCGGCCTTAAAATGGCTATCATTCAGCTATTATTAAGCGGATCATGAAACAAATGCACATACATATTTGTGACATGATGTACCTTGTGTGTGTGAAGTTTGAACTCCATCAATCCAGGCATGTCTCAGATACGGATCCAGAACTGAATTTTTTAAAACAAAATGGCCGCCAGTCGACCATTTCAAACCCAATCCCCCCCAAAAAATGACGTGCATCAAGGTCCTATTATGTTTAATGTATGTACCAAATTTAAAAAAAATCCGTCCATGCATAACTGAGATCCGGGTCCGGAATGGTGAAAATGTGCGATTTTGATGCATTTTCGACCTTAAAATGGCAGCTATTCAACTATCGTTAATCGGATCATGAAAAAAATGCATGTGCATATGTCCCATATAATGTGTGATGTATGAGTGAAGTTTGAACTTAATCGGTCCATGCATGTTCGAGATACAGGTGATCACGGACGCACGAACGCACACAGGGCAAAACATAAGTCCCCGTTTTCGGACTATGTTCGAACGGGGACTAATAAACTAATAAATATTTGTTAAACACTGAATCAATCTTTCAGTTGTCACATGTGCTACTAGTAGAACAAATATGGTACCATATTCATGATGGTCAATTCTCACCTGACTTGTTGATATTTTAAAGTGCATAGCTGTCTGATAAGCAGGATCCATGAATATTTCTGGTACATTTTGACCACTTTCTATCGCTGTTAACTTCAAACCCAGTAAATGGCGATCAATTACTTCACCAACCAAGGCCTATTAAGGGAAGAAAAATAGATATTACATGTGTACTCTTATAAATAATTGTTATTGGCACATGATTGTGATATTATTTTTATTAGAGCCTTGTATAACATCCTAAAACGAAGTCCTTATAATTAAGCAGTCAATCTACCTTTTAGGACAAACACTTTTGGTGTAGTCTTGAAGTTGGACATCCTCTGAATTCTGAGGTTCAACCATACAGACTACACTGCAGTTTGATTTAGGGACTACGAAAAAGAGCTAGGTGACCATCTTATCATAGAGGTATTATGGCAATGAATACGCTGCCCTAGTATAAGCCAGGGTCCTGGTCAAAGAAACCCTTGTAAACGGTCAACAAAAATGTATCCATTGGTGAATATATCTCAGCCAATTCAATTAACAATTCAGCCTATGGCACACTCATCCAGGGTATAGTGAACCTGGCCTCCACATTGAGTCTGTGATATACATATCCAACGTACAGTGGCTATGTCCTCTCCATTGAGTCTATGACACAGTCACAAAAGGCACAGTGGCTAATCCTTCTCAATTCAGTCTGTGACATACTCACAAACGGTACAGTAGTGTTGGCCTCCCCATTGCTGAGTCTGTAGCACCCCCCTTAAGATACAGAGTGTCTGGCGTCACCATTGAGTCTGCTGTATACTAACCCAGGGTACAGTGGCTAAGCCCTCCCCATTCAGTCTGTGACATACCGTACTCACAAACGATACAGTAGTGTTGGCCTCCCAATTGATGAGTCTGTAGCACCCCACTCAAGATACAAAGTGTCTGGCGTCACCATTGAGTTTGTTGTATACTAACCCAGAGTACAGTGGCTAAGCCCTCCCCATTCAGTCTGTGGCACACTCACACAGGGTAAAGTGGTGTGGCCTCCCTATTGAGATTGTGGCACCTCAGCCAGGGTATAAAGGTTCTGGTTTCTCCGTTGAGTCTATGGCACACTAACCTATGGTACAATGGTTTTGGTCTTTTATCGAGTCACACTCACCCAGGACAGACATAAACCATTTTTTGTGTTCAATCAAAGGTAGGATTTGGACCAAAGGATTAGAATTCAATGTACCTGCATTAAAGGATCATACCTGGTTTGTGTATGTCTTGTGTGCTTCAACAGCTGCTCTTAATAAATGGTATCTTTCACTTGGCTGAAAAAAATCAGTGAATCAGAGGTAAAATAGGTTTGTTACAAATGACATCACATGAACGCAAATGACACATGACACGAATGACACATGACACGAATGACACATGAATGCAAATGACACATGAATGCAAATGACACATGAATGCAAATGACACATGAATGCAAATGACACATGAACGCGAATGACACATGAACGCGAATGACACATGAATGCAAATGACACATGAACACAAATGACACATGAACGCAAATGACACATGAACGCAAATGACACATGAACGCAAATGACACATGAATGCAAATGACACATGAATGCAAATGACACATGAATGCAAATGACACATGAATGCAAGTGACACATGAATGCAAATGACACATGAACGGGAATGACACATGAACACGAATGACACATGAACGCAAATGACACATGAACACGAATGACACATGAATGCAAATGACACATGAATGCAAATGACACATGAATGCGAGTGACACATGAACGCAAATGACACATGAATGCAAATGACACATGAATGCAAATGACACATGAATGCGAGTGACACATGAATGCAAATGACACATGAACGCAAATGACACATGAACATGAATGACACATGAACATGAATGACACATGAACATGAATGACACATGAATGCAAATGACACATGAATGCAAATGACACATGAATGCAAATGACACATGAATGCAAATGACACATGAATGCGAGTGACACATGAACGCAAATGACATGACACATGAATGCAAATGACACATGAATGCAAATGACACATGAACGCAAATGACACATGAACGCAAATGACACATGAACGCAAATGACACATGAACGCAAATGACACATGAACGCAAATGACACATGAACACAAATGACACATGAACGTGAATGACACATGAACACGAATGACACATGAATGCGAATGACACATGAACACGAATGACACATGAATGCAAATGACACATGAATGCAAATGACACATGAATGCAAATGACACATGAATGCAAATGACACATGAACGCAAATGACACATGACACGAATGACACATGACACGAATGACACATGAATGCAAATGACACATGAATGCAAATGACACATGAACGCGAATGACACATGAACGCGAATGACACATGAATGCAAATGACACATGAACACATCACTTCCATTAACAAATTAACTGAATTTGAAGCACTTACATAATTAGCCTGCTACATTGACAAAAATCTCACCAAAACATAATATTTTGGCAATTCATACAGAATTCATATTTGTAATCTGACCTGCGCATATATATACCGGTATATAGGAAAACAATTATCACACTGGAAACACTCTAATAAATTTAAATGTTATTATATTCAGAATGGAAATCAGAGCCAAAAATGAAAATTAGGTATCCTGATGGCATAATAATAAAATTAGAAAGATTACATGTAATTTTCAATTCAGTTTAAACATCTTTAAATACAAAAACAAAAACAATTTACAATTTTTTTAAAATTATTAATAATCCTCACCGTTTTATTGCTGTCCAGCATGGCTTTACAAAATCTGAGTGATGCATTTGTGCATGATCTAATAGTGTCTGTACGTCCCAGACGAAATCTTCGGAGCGATGCACTTTCATAGGTGGCTGCAGTTCTCTTGTAAATCCTAAACATAACAAACATGACATATACAGTACATATGAAGGAATAACTTAAGATAGAAGCCTACTCACAACTTTTGAGAAAGTTGGTCATAAATCACATAACAGTTTTCATTGGTTTAGTATGTAAAATTATGAAGCTATTGTTTGTGGCACCACGAAGTGACATACTTTTGTGTGTTACAGTGACATATTGTGAGAAACCTGTCCTGATATTTTCCAAAAATCGCTTTTTTTTTTAACAATTCCATAGAGCACAATGTTGAAGAAAAATTGCATTTTTTGATATTTTTTAAAACCCAGATTATTGAAATAATTTAGGCCAACAATAAGTACTCCACCATTAACAATATATAATTTTTTCAGTCTATGTTACCAGGCTACAATTTGAGATATGGCACAATATCTCTGCTATAGAGTCATATGGTAAAAGCGTTATAATACTGTCAAAATGACCACTATCAACAAGTCAACATCCTTATAATGCCTTGAAGTACAATTTATTGAAAAATTAATAAATTCTGGGTATTTTTAGTCATGAGTAGGCTTCTATCTTAATTACATATACACTCAATATGCAAGTTTTCAGACACTGGCTGGCATTTTCCCAATAAAGCACAAAATATACAATAGCAAGAAATCAACAATGTTTAAAACATGATAACCATAAACTAATTATCAGGTTCTTCCGAAATTAGTTTTCTTGATGTTTAGCCACGCTGTCACTGTTTCCGAGTATGAAGTTGTCGTGTACACTCACCAAAGTTCTTATAATGAAAACAAGCCATGCTTGGCACAGTCCCCGTTAGTTATCAAATTTAAGATATATAGTTTGTTTATAGTAATATAGCTGGAATATAACCATGTCAGGAATATGATTTTTTAACATTAAAATGATTGACATTTGTATCTGATCGTCAAACAAGTACTTGTCCATATTGAGCGATATTGCTCTGGAACAGCATTCAAAATCAGCCATTTTGAATACATGTA